GATATTTATTGGACATATATGTGGAACTCTGTTGGTGGCCATGCAGAGTACTAATGACATAATTGCAACAGCTGCCTCAACATGTTTTTGTAGGTAAAGATGAGGATGTATATAAACAAATACAAACAAAATATCTATTTAGGAAGAAAAGAAATAGTTGAAGCAGTTATCTATTTTCTTTCAGATATAGACATTTAGAGAAGACAGGGTGTTGCATGACACTCTTAATCTGTGGAAGCCTCTGGAAGAAATGTGTCATAAATGCAATTGAGCTCTTTGGAATAAGGAGGATTATGACAGTAAAAGGAAGAGAGGTCATGAACTAAGACTTAGAATTGAGAATGAGTCTTTTTCTGGGAGGTCATTGATGAAATCAGTGTATGTAGAGCAGAAAGTTTATCATGGAAAATGAAAGAAGGTAGAGTTTATGAACATGGATTTGACTTTATAGAGGTTGACCTATTTCCATTAAAAATAAGGAGTGATAAATTTATAGTTAACGTTATGCTTATCTGGTGCTTTTAAAGAAGTTCGAATTAGCTTTGGAATTGATAGCTGTTTCCTAAAACACACATGCATAAATTTGGATTAGCTTTGGAATTTGTATATTTTGTTCTGGTGTGCCTAGTTGTTTTCAGGGTACTGTTAGGTGAAATTACATATTTTTTTAATAATCCTGATATAACCAGTTGTAATTCTGCAATTCTGACATTTATTTTTCTTCACAGAGGCCCCATAAAGCCACTGCCGAAGAAATGACAAAATACCACAGTGATGAGTATATCAAATTTTTGCGGTCAATAAGACCAGATAACATGTCTGAGTATAGTAAGCAGATGCAGAGATGTACGTTTCTATGTCAAAAGTATTGTAATATTGATAAGTATAAATGAGTATTTTTTCAGAGTTTATAATTAGAGTTATCCAAATCTGGGTATTTTTCCTGTTGGTCTAAATGTTATTATAATTCTTTATTGATTTGAAAAGTCAGTATAACAATACTAAAGCTACTTAAGAAAAAAACAAACCTATCTGAAGCTTATTGATCGTGAAACTACTGTTTGGATGTTCCTCTACTTTTTATTTTGCTTCCATGATAACTTTGAGACAATGGATGTTGATAGATCTCACTCCCTTGTTTCAAAAGAAAGATTGTACTTTGGTTAGCTTTGGTATATACCTCTTATATTTGTGTACTTTAGTTAACCTGGACTGTAATAATCTTTTTTTCTTCTTTTTGGTACATTAGTGCAGCTTTTGATTCTCTTCTACATGATGTTCTGTTTCATAGGTTTAAAGTGTCTTAGAGGTTGGTAACAAATTGGCTTAAAGGTAGAATGCAAAAGTTATCGTAAAATGATTGGAACAGTCTTTTAAAGCTTGCTACTGGAGTTCATTCTCACTAGTGTTTTTTATTGATGGGCTTCAGTGATTATAACAAATTAATTGCTAGGCATCTCAAATATTCATAACCTAATATACATTTCCACCATAGATTATCTCATTTAATTAGTTAAAATGCTATAATATAACTAGAACAGATATTATTTATTCATTTTTTCAGTGGGGATTCAGACAAATTAAAAAGAGGATTAGGATCATATCTGAGTAGAAAGAAAGTAAAATTTATTCTTTATAATGCTTTTAATTTAAGGATATACAAAGATAATATAAAACAATGACCCTTATTCTTGAAGAGATTACAATTTGGGACATAGGGAGAAACTGAAAATGGGTTATACACATCTACTATATCCCCTCCATTCTGTCAGTACTAAGGAACTAAATATGTCATGATGTCTCATGTCTCTGTATGTTGTTTCCTGTTGTCTTAAGTACCCCCTCTATATCTTGGCTTCCATGAACCTAGTTAGTTTTTACCATCTTTCAGGATCAAGGTTAAGCATGGACAGAGGCATCAGCTGTTACATCTTTTTAGTGCCAATTTACATACATTTCAAAGTTGAGTATATTATGTGTATTTAAGAAATGTTAAAGAAATTGAAGTTACTTACTTTTTTGATTAAATAATTGTTATATATTTAAGGAGAAATGCCCAGAAAATTTAAGCCCATGTTTTAATTAAATTAAAAAAAATACTTTTATGCCTTGACACGTGTTGATTTCTTGTTAATTTGAGAACAGAAATATTCCACAAATAATCCGGACAAGATTTGGTAGTGGTGTTTCACAGATAATACTTTAATTACCTTGGATAAAGTAATAAATTTATTTTAAAGTTGTAGACTTTAGGTTACTACTATGAAGTGTATGTTTTGTGATTGCATCAAAGTATTTGTAGGAAATAGTTTTTGTAAGGAAAGGCTTTTGTTAATATGCAGAATGTATTGAAATTAATGAAATCCATTTTCCACAGTTAATGTCGGAGAGGATTGTCCAGTGTTTGATGGACTCTTTGAGTTTTGTCAGCTCTCAACTGGTGGCTCAGTTGGTAAGTTCTAATTTAATCAGATTTAGATGTTTATCTAAACTTGATATA